CACTTCAAAGATGTTGCCATACACTATCGGGTTGATAAATTCCTTGTTGAAATATTGTCGTCCCTCTATCATCTTCAAAATTTGGCAGCAATTTGAGGCTACTCATCACATCCAACGTTGATGATATATGTATAGGAGTCCGATCGTTGTCACATGAAAGCCGTCCAGAGTGAAATTGATAAACATCTCAAGGAATCACTGAGAGCAAAAGGAAGACACGTTCACATCCAGTTTTATTGGTATTCCTAGAGGAAGTTTCTTTCTGAATTGTTCACATCAGCTGAAAAAGGACCTGTCCGATAGCTTGACTGTTTTTGAACGAATGTCCTCGCTTAGTGGATGTGTATTTGAATGATGCGTACTGCACGCAAAACTGAAAATACCGTTATTTGTTTGCAAGGATTATGTTGGGGACTCTAACTGCAGCTGATGGGACAACTGTGACACACTTAGATATGAACCGCACTGATTTATTATACCGATCATGTTCATCATTATGAATTTCAATATTAATTATTGATGTTTTGTTGCCCGGGATTATTTTTTATAAGAACACAACCAGGCATGCCAGGTGGCAGCTAGTTCAATTATTGATCCCTCTAAATAAGACGTGGGAACCCTGAGGAATCGAGCGAGGAAGCCCCAAAATTGGGTCGCCAAGGTGGCAAAGAATTCCGACAAATGGGATCCAGCGGAAGAGAGTACTTGGAGATCCCTCTCTCTTTTCATCGACTCAAATTTCAAAAACTTTGAGTCATATATTAGAGGAAGCTCAAATGTGGAATTTCCCATTATTTGCTGTCTTTGTTGATATATTAAATACTTCAGAAGGTCATCGGAAACACCTGTTCAACTTCACTAAAAGATCAACTATCATAAAAAAGGAATTATGACATCAAAAGAGTCTAAGCGAATCCTTGTGGCTCATTTAGGTCACTAATAATTCTTTGATGGTGTTTATTTGGCCGCAATAGAACAAGAAACTGGCAATAAGTAATAAGTTTTCCCTCGAGAGGTTTCTTGAAACCTTTATTCCGCCTGAAGGAACGCAATAGACGGAATAGAATGCTGAATTGTTTATGCTTAAATAATTCAAGCAAATCATACGTCAGACATTTCACTTCAGTTGTGAATATCTTTTTCTGAACATAACCAGTCGAACTTCCGCAATAATGCCTGTTTTTGACATTATAGGTTGTTTTTGAACGACTGCTTATCAACTTCCATAGTCACGTTAATGAAAACACATTTGACTGGTACTCATCATTACATTACCATTCACACACCTCATATAATATGGACTCGCAAATGAAATTCGTCTCATAATCTCAAATTGAGATAAGCTATTCTAAAAGGGGCAACAAAACGTATGCAGTAATACTGTTCCATTGAGCGATGAATAAACTGACGAATTGACATTTAACAGTGAGGAAAATGGGATGATGAGTTACAAATAAGTGATGTTGAATTAGAAACGAAGTCAGAGGTAGTAGTATGGTATGTTGATCAAGAGAGAGAACATTAATATGAGAGAAGTATTGCTGAAGCATGCAGTTGAAAGTAGAGCACTTTATGAGAAGCTACAAAGCTCTTGCGTCGAGCTGCTACTCTCAAACATCTCGAACGACCAAGCAATATTTTTTCAGCCATGGTCAGATTATTCATTCGGCTAATTTCTCAAACCGAATGATCAAAGTGATCACTAAGCTTGAGAAATTAAATTCCGACAGATTTGCCAATTTTTAATCTCGTTTTATCGGATAAATGACGCTGATTTGAAGTGTTGTGAATAAATTCATTCTAAAACACCAAATATTTTTGATTGATTCCAACTTCATTTCTTTCGATTATCACGGAATACAATCGAAAGAAATGGGAATGAATAAACTGTGCGGTCGAAAAACACTTCAATATTATAGTTAGAAAATTGATGATGTGAACGAAAGGACCGCACAGTTCTTGATTTTAAAAAAATTAATCTCATGCAGATTGTAAATCAAAATTGAGGTGACTGAACACACTTACACTTTGAATAGTAATCAAACAACTTAAAATGATGGCTAGGAAAGACAAACGAACGGTGGAACGGCCATCGTCATTGTGGTAACAACGGCACAACGATCATCTAGCTAAATATTTTCGATGTTTCCAGTGGTGGATGCAAAAAGAAACTGAACAATATCCGACAATCTCAGAAGTTCATTTTGACGACTTTCGTGCGACAAAACTAATAACTTTCTAAATGTTGTATCCCAAAAGCAGGCGATCATTTGCTCAGAGATTGGATTCAATAAGCAGTGTTGCTATTACCATTTTATTTTGCAAAAATTCGCAGTGGATTACGACTGTATTTTGCTGAAATCATTAGAAAGGAATGACAAAACTAACGAGTGCAAGATGTAAAGGAGATGTACACATGCTCAAAGAAAATGAAATGGCATTACGCAATCATCGATATCAATTTGGAAGACGGATTTGGCTGATTTAGAGGATAGAATACTGAATAATATATGTGGATAAATGAATAGATACAAGATGCTCAGAGAAATATATACGTCTGAGGNACGAAAACACACATTGCGAGAATGCGGTTCGATGGACGGACTGATGCATGGATGGATATTCAATGTCATTTAATCGCCCTGAAAGTTTCTGTATGATTTGCACCACTCAATCAAAAAAATTGTACGGTAGTTTGAGTATAATTATTAGGCGTAATAGCATTTCAGTATCGACGGGTTTTATTCTTTTGAACTTTTATTAAATGAAAATTATAGACATTTCGAGGTAGTAATTTCCGTTTTACTAAAATTGAAATTGATTATTTTCTTTCGAAACATGTCCAAATAACACCTTTCAAATGCATCCGCTCAATCATAGTTCATAATGTGGCAATAGTTCATCCATATACTGTCTTTGTAAAGTCAATGGCTTGTGAAGTCAGGCTTCATTCTCGGAACTCGAATACTTTATTTCAATGAGGTGATGAGAAAAGGTGAACATGAATGAGCTGTTAGCATCGTACTATCGATTTTACAAAGCAAATTGAACAAACAATCATCGAAAACAGAACAATCTGCAAAACTTTAAATGATCAACAGTAAAGAGATTATCGAGAAGCTACAAAGAGTTGAACACGTTCAATCGAATGTTAAAACATGTTATTTATACACTTGAGCCAACATGAACACAAGGACAAAAGCCATTTCTAGGACCAAACGAATCATTTCAAGAATTCAGATTACGCACATCAGTTGAGCATGTATTATGACATTGATCACTGTACGAAAGCTGAACGATATTATGGTCTTCTCTATGTCAAGCAAGCAAATCATTAGGCATTATTGTTCCCCGCATCGTGCTGTTCGCCATTTCGTCGCCATCTTCCTCTGAACCAATCGTCCACAGAGTTTCTAAGTTGTATTTGCGTCTCGTTTTATCCGACATAACATGTAGCATCGTGTCACCCAACTGTAAACAATACCAACCACCCGGATTCTTCACAATACGTCCTGACGAAGACAACTCCTAGAATTGATGGAATATCGGAAATTTACATTGCTCATTTGGCTTGATCCATACTCATACATGTTCATTATGTGCATTTTTACTGACTGCCTCACTTTTTCTTCCCAACATTGGACAGTTACTTTCACAACGTTTTCCGATCTGATCTATCGCTACAAAACTTACAGAAATTCAAATGGTCAGCTAGAACTGAAACTAGGATGAATTGAATGTAAGCAACCAAACGGTCAAAATTAACGAACAATCGGCTGGACTCGTCTCATATTTAATCGATCTAATGTTGCCTAAATGAAGATCTATAAATAGCACATGCACACACATTCATCGGAACGATTCTCATCCATTATGGATGTCTTTTCGGATAATACTGCGCTGGCAGTCAATTATGTACATCTAATTTTAGCGCTATAATTGACCAGATGTTCATCCGAAAAGGCTTGAATACAACCAGAATTTCCAGCAATAAGCATGATCAGAAAGCGTTAATCTGCCAGATATCCGATGCAATAATGCAATAACTGAACTGATTAAAAAACGACATTTTTGGAACAAGCCAACGTTCGATCGCGTCCTAATCTTACCGCAAAAAAAACGCACTGCACACTACGAAAAATACTACTGACAAATCACAAATGTGACTTTAAATAACTCTTCTCTCAAACAAACGAACGAATCGCATAAAACGATGGCTGCCAGCAATGATTACTTCATTCTATAATAGCACACACGTTCCCGGTCGCAATTCATCCATCTTTTTGCCTCTTTCTAGAGAACGTCACTTTTTGTGTATCGTTTCCCATCAATTACCTACTCACCCAAAAACATCGTCCATCATTCGCGTTCCCCATGTTTTCTCGACCACGAACAACCGCACACAAACAAATACAATTACAACGCTGAATGAGTGTCTATCAAATCCAGAATCATCTACATATAAGAGAAATTCAAATTACTGCAATGAATGAATGAATCCAAACCGGATCAATGCCTCACTAACGACGTCTCGAGCATACGTTCTAAGTATTCGAAGGCGCAGACGCTGTTTTCAATTAGATGACCAGAAATAAAAACTCGAAACAAATCAATATGTGAGTGGCTGGCAAAGTACAAGAAATGAGTCAATAAAAGAACATAAAAGTGCACGTTAGATATAAAAACACAGTGTCATTTAATTAAATATTTGCGCATTCATCGCAATTGAAACAAATCGTTCACAATCATAAGTTTCCGATCGTTTTACGTTATTTGCTGGCGTTTTTTGATGCTGCCATTCGATGATTTTAAAACCTCAACTTTATTTGTTAACATTTCAGTAATGTCAACATTTATGACAGAAAGGCTCGTCGTCTGTATGCACAAAAAATACCGTCATAACAAGCACATCTATTCACAAGGTAAACACATCCCATCGCATATTAGAGTGATGAGAATAAAATATGATCTCGTTTCAAGCGCACTTCAATTTTTGTTGCTTATTTCAAGAAAAGAACAATCAATCATTCGTCCACATTACTATGCTCAAAATGACTGACGGTCACCATGAATGTTCAAAACTCATCAGTTTCGATATGTGAAAACTTCATATAACATAATCAATCTTGCATTATCGGGACTCTTTCAAAACATCCACTGAGAAGGATGTTCTGCTCAAGAAACAAATGAAAAAAAAATGGCTCTCAGCTGAACGAACACTACTACCTCTGATGTGCTTCTCACTTTGAGACATTTTCGAACCGTTTGAACGAGTGCTTCACCGTGTCTTCGATTATGCGGCGAACAGATGACCACATTTCGATGCGGTCCTTCATCAGCTGGTACTTGTATACAAACGATATTCATTGCTCTTTCAGCACGCAATACATCGATCAGTTCGCGCAACGACAGCAAGTCGCCATTCAGACTCGTTTCATCGCTTAGCATATCACGGATTGCATCGGGTAAAGCTGAACAAAAGTTGTGCACACCAAATCAAACTCGCTATGAATCCTCTTAGGAATTCACATATTCTCAGCACATAACAGTACATCTCAACCAGTGCTTCTTGTTTGCTATTTGTCAGCTGGTAAAATTTTTTTTTCCATTTGGCTGATGCTGTTGCGATTCGTTCTAGAATGGACGACTGCCCGTAAACTAGGCCGAAAAAGACAATAAATTTCGATAGTGAAGAACTTCTGAAGAGGCAAAATGAGGGATATAAGTGAAGAATGCCTCGAAACACTACGATTTGATGCAAAATTGGTCGGGACCAGACACAAATTTTACTTATTGTTACTACGGAAATGGATATAATGTAATGAAATGGAAATGAGAAATGTGTGGAAATGAAATGGATATATTATAAATCAACTGAAGGACAGAATAAACAATAATTTGAGATCATCTAAATAATGCATTTAAAAAACCATTCAAACAGTGACAGCGACATAATAAGCCACGAACCACTTCTTTTTTGCTTCTCTTTTTCCGGCTCCAATCGATCTTCATCGATAATCTCCTCGTAATACTCCTCAATATACTGATCGAAATAATCGCGTAATTCCTTTAGTTTCTCTTCATCTGTCTGCTGCTGTGATGAGTTGAATTCAGTGTTTGTTGGTGCAGAAGAGAATGATTTCTGAGAGGTGCTCGGCAAGGGTGAAGGTTTAGTGCGGTGATTCAGAAGTGATGAATTGATTGTTGAATGATATAAACACTGTGCAACGCTCATCTGGCGTACGCTATTAGATGCTCGTCGCAAGATCAGCGATTGGATTCGCGTGAATGATAACATGTCGAATTCTTTGCTCCACAACCGGACGATATTTGGCGTCCACTTTGATCTTTTCCAACTCGTCCAAAGCGTCAAAACCGTCGATTACGCTGCAATAAATATTAATGAGACCTTGATATCAAAACAGAGGGAAGTTAGATGAGAACTTACTTAATCAGTTTGGAAAGAAGTAGCTAGCATTCAATGCAACTGACCAAATAACTTCACTCCCATTACTCATCGTTAATATCATCAAAAACAGATTATGCATGAAAAGTTAATGTGATGATCTGCTCTGAATTAATTAAATTCTTCGAATTCTACCAGAGCATTATCGATTTGCTTCAGAATACACGCAGACATAGTGATTGCCAGGACACGGAAATATTGAAACTACTAATATTTGTTAACAATAATAATAAAAGAAAGAATAGAGATGCCAAACCGTCCGAAAACCGTGTATTTTAGATCAAGCGATGGCTGTTTAGCGTATGTGATGAAGAATTGTGATTTGCTTGTGTTCGGACCGTTACCAGCCATCGACACAACGCCACGGGCGTCGTGCTGAAATTCCAATTCAAGATATCCACAATTGTTTGAACGCACTCAATTGCCAACATCAGAACATTCAAATTGGCTTACCAATTTTGATGTCAACGTTGATTCAGTCTAACGATCGATATTATTGAACTCAAAAAATAAACTCAAAATTTCAATCAGTCTTGCGTATACGTCTCAAGATAATGTGCACATGAATGAATGATTTTCATTCGATTCGTTCTCCCCTAGGCTTCATTCAGCTGGATTGATGAGGAATATTTTAATTGAAATGAACCATATAAAGCTTTATGAAAACCTTCAATTCAGGATTGAGTTCGTCTGCAATCGGACCTCCCCAAATGCTGTCACCTCCTTTACCGGTTCCTGTCGGATCACCAGTCTGTACCATAAAATCTTTGATATTCCGATGGAATATGCAGTTATCGTAATAGCCACTTGCACACAACGCTAGAAAGTTCTGAAACGCAATTGTGTTAGCTTGCGTTTGTGATCGATTCGCATCATAACAACATGTTCATCAATGCTATCATTACTAGCTCATCGAATATCATTCTTATCGTTATTCTTATAGTAATCCTTGATATTCCGCAATAACTACTTTTACTTATAACGGTTTTTGATCATATCAATGAGATTACGAGTGCTACCAATTTCAACACTCATCGGTATAAACAATGAATGATAGAAGAGTGCAAAAACAAACCTCACAAGTTTTCGGACAAAGGTCACAATAAAGTTCAAGTTTTATATCACCGATAGTGGTTTGAAGTGTTACTGACATTTGATTGTGACAAAAAGCGATAGGAAATAATCCATAAAACAGATCTGTAATCTCGTAACTTCCTGAAGATTTATTGTTTTCAATACCCTAGAACTGCAATTGCTGCGATTAAGCATAGAATCACATGAGAATTGCATCCTCTGCTGTCAAATATACTGTCAATCAATTGAGTCCGCACAAAAATCTTCCCCATTAACAATTGTTCGAGAAAAAAGCAAACGAAACAAATATCAAAACAGATATCAATTATGTTATACATAATTTCCGCAAGAATAATGCAGCTTAATGCTGGAATTCTCAAAAGATGAAAATCGCTCATTCAAATCTGCTTTACAATATTGCTGTATAATAGACGATATGAAACCGCAGATACTGTGACAAAAACCCAGTGAATTTTCAAAAGCAAATACACATGAACGATATCTAACACCTTTATTTCTTTGAGTGTTCGAAATAAACACGATGAAATCACCTTAAGGCAACCATATGAAATGAAATATTAGGTATGATACAAAAACATACTATGCAGAACATTTCGAAAGAGAATGGTGTCACAGTTACAATGACCAATCAGTTCAAATCGATGGATGCATGTCACAATTTATTAATATTTCGAACGGTGCGCACATATACAAACATATACATCAAGGATTGACAGCTGGCCAATAATTCTAAGAATTGCCGTCACAATAAGTGTAATGAAATGACTAAACGTAAGGTAGAAGAAATGAGTAAATAGATGAAAGCCAGGAAAACATAATTGAGGTTTGATGATATGGTGAAATCGGAAGGACTCGAAGGGCTGATCACAAATGCACAATGTTGTTGCTAAATAATAATGTGTAGCGAAATGCAATGCAGATTGAAACCAATATGAACAACTCTTCTAAAGGGCAAATTTTAAATCAATCCTCTCCAAGCCTCAGCTTCAGCGTGTCCTACTGTTAGTTTGAGCCTAAATTTTAGTGATCTGCAAAGCTCTACATATCAGGGATGAAATTCACTGAAGATGAAGACTATATCATGATGGCAGTATAATTTTACACAAACAAATACTATGAAACGAATTGAAACGCAAAAACAAAAACATCAACACGAGTAAACTTCGCTAAAGACACAACAGTGAATGCTGGCAGAGTGACTATTATCTTCACAACTCACTTCAAGACGGGTTGCTTTGGATGAACAAATTATTATGTATGACCATGAACACTATCATAAAATGAATTTCTCTCGATGAAACACTTTCTTAGATTGTCATATGAGTCTAAAATATATCTCGGAACACAAATTTACAATACATACATACTATCAATAACCACATTGATAACAACGATCGCATCAACTTGCGTTGACTGCTCATAATACCATTGACTTTCAACAGATCACCATCAAGCTTCTATCAATTCGTTTACTAATGCAATTCTGATTAGTGCACGCATTGTCCATCCGTTCGTTGATGACTTCATCTTGACGGTGGAGCGTCAAAGAAAAGTAATGGGAACATCCCCACAAGGCAACCGATTATAAGGCCAAATGCACGACCTAAGTTCACGATCGTTCGAGCAAGCCCCGACTCCAACTGCAACAGATAGTGTCAATGCCAATCCGAAATAATAACGAACATCAATCACAACAACAAAAAACTCATCGAGAAGCTTTCATCACAACTATTCCATTGTTTCTGATAACCATGAACTGATGTTACTCAAAGCGGTAAGACTGACCTGTTCAGATGTGAGCACTGGGTGTTTAATGCCAAACTTTGAGACAGCAAATTCGACGTAATGAGAGAAACCAACACCAGCCACATCCGATATCAAATTACCAAGTGCTGCTGCGGCCATTGTTGAGATTGCAAGCCATGCACCCAATGTCTGCAATTTGCAATTCTTTTTGCTTTCAAAATTCAATCACTTCCTTCTACTAGAAAACGATACCAAATACCAAAAGCAAAACTGAATGCTTGTTTGAAAGAAATGAATACTCTCAAAAATGCACACATCATGATTGCATGACTTCATAAAGTCAAACTGATAAATTCACAAGTGTATTACAAAAGTGACCAAATATTAAAATTGACTAAATATTCAAAATACGGCATTTGAAGTCCATCTATAAGCATAAAAGTCTTTAAGTTCATCAGCTGAAACGATTCAAAAATAAATCTAGGTCATAATATGAACCTGATCAATGTATTCACCAGCAATGATCATCACCATATTATCAAGAAAACCGAAACCAATGAACGGTAATGTGTTGATAACAAACAGTTGTTTCATTTCCTTTCGTGTCAACTTGCCTCAACAAAACAAGGTGAAGTCTTTGAATAAAAAAGACACATCTTCTACACCAACATACAATCACAACGAAAAGTAATCAACTGCGATCTTTCTGAATCCTTCTTTACGTTCATTTTCTGCGGAACACACAAAATGCTTCGAAAAGAAATAAGTTGTTTTTTAGTTTTTCTCTAATCATTCAATGCTAGTAGCTTCAGATGTGGTCCTTGCAGTCTTAACCTCACATACAACTCAGATCTGAACTCGACGAGCTTGATTCCCTCCTCAAATCCAGGGTTCGATGCTATCTGAAATCTGAAAACACCACAATTTTGAAATGGTGCTGGTTTTGGTGAACGAACAGAAAAAGTATTTACCACTATCAACAATCGGTTGTTCTCCAGTAATTTCATCAATTGCAAACAGTAATCTACGTCGTTCCTCGGGTAGCAACTTTGCAACGATTTTACGTGCCTTGCTCTCATCCTCTATTCGTAACTCTCGTAGACGAGCTGCTGCAATTGAATGCTTAAACGAATTAACGCAATACTATATTCACATCAACATTATCAATGAAATGAAGTTCAATTAGAATAATTAGAATCAACAATCAATTAATCTAAAATTTCACCAATCCACAGTTACTTCGTCCAATACTAAGCCGACAGATACTCAACGATTCTGAATCTAAATCGGTCCGTAATCAACCGTTCGCAATTACTCAACCCAAACGGGACTTATATCAAAATCTGTCTAATATGTTAACGATAATTTATTTCTCAGAAGACAAAATACAAAAGTATTATAGGGAACGAGATGAACCGAAAAGTAACAGTGAGATAAATGCTCGAAAAATGAAACAGTCGCACTTTTGCAAAACAACAATAACAAAGGCAATATCAGCAACCTGATGTGGAATGTCTTGGAATGAGAGGAAATAAATTGTTGGCACTTAAAAAAGTCAGCGGGGATCGCTGGCCAATACAAACACGAGCCGTTCGGCAACAATAATTAAACCAGCAACTACTTGAAGCCATCATCAATCAAATTCTGCAAACACGTCATCAATTAATCGTCAAAAACTATCACACCAGGCCCTGCGTAGCGTTCAAATTTCGGGTCCGAGTGAGTGTTTAATGCAGTTTTATGGAAGCATGAAACTATTATACGTAGCGAATTGATCGAATTCATAGAAATAACCACAGAAATTATTCCGCTAAATTGAATTCTCTTCGATAGTATTTTGAAACTTTCACTAATAAAACTTTACAAGACTTCACTCAAATAACCTCTGCTAAATGCACTGATATCTTTGTAATGACGAATGCAAAACGTCAAAAAGAGAAAAACAAAAACGAAACGAATCAAAGCAAACAGCAAACGAATAGTTTATTACAACAAAATTCTGATCACAATTAACAAATAACAATAATCAAGAGACGATTGATGATGTTTGTTATACCAAGCACCATCCAAGCGAAAGCGTTTTCAAGTGATTGCTGTGATAGTGAAGGGCGATTATTCAAATAGTTTATATTATTATTTTTAATTAGGCGAAATTATTCAAATATATTATAAATAAAAACTAAAAAAATGTTATTCAAATACTATAAAAAATAACAACCTTATCATTAGGCGAGATGAGATGATTAATTGGAGAATTTCACAAAATGTATATTCAACAACAGCAAAATACTCGTAATGACTTGACTCAAACATTTCGATATCACATACATTCCCGAAGCGATTAACTCATAAGAAGAATATATCTTGGCAGAAACAAGAACAAAGAACGCGTTAAGTGCTAACGAATAAATTCACTGACTCTGACTGCATGATTTCGTCCTATCCGTTCACACATATTCACAATATGACTGATTTCTCCTAATATTGATAATGTTCACCTACTTAAATCCTTCATGAGTTGACACTAATCATAAGAACAAAACGGCTTACCACAGAAGAGAATCAAGATCAGTATGAGATACTAAGCTGAAGCCGAAAAAGTATAGTCCATTTCGATGCGATTTGCGACAGACAGTTCGATAATAGCAATTGTTGGCAACAACCAAATAAATTATTCACTTCAAGTCGAATAACAAAAAAAAAACGTAAACCATACATTATATTTCAGAATATAATCTATCAATAACGAAAAATTATGCGCCATTATTAAAGCTTAATAAGGGCTGTGACCCCTACCACCACCACCACGAGAACGTCCTCGTCCTTGATAACCACCTCTCTGGCCTCCTCCGTGACTACGGTTTGATGACTCATATTCACGCATTACCTGAATTACCAAACATTATTATAGAATCATCGAACAGTTGGTTCAACGTTCGTTGAGCATTGCTTATAATGTTATTGTATGATGTATCACACACTTACTTACTTTTTAACTTTTTACACTCATAATTACACATTTACTTTTTAAAGTTTATTACATTGAGTGATATACGACTCAAGAGTTATTACTGCTGTTGTCGATAAACAAAACGATACATTACACATAAATAACACCTATTGAATACCAATGTTATCAAAAACCAGTTCTCAGTCTCATGTACATTGAGTATTCTTTTCATGAGAGGAGAACCTCATCTTTCTCTTGCGTAATTTTATTTTTCATTGATCTGCTATCCTCGTCCTTTGACAAGAGGTAATTTTACGTTGCTTCAGATTTTCATGACATATCGACCCTGTTCTGCGATAAGAGAAACCACTCCTAATGAGGATCTCTGATCAATAAGAATAAATAACTAGTGCGAGACTAGTGCAGAGAGTTTATCGCCTTCAAACTTGGAAATAACTAACCTGGTCCTCGAATCCGGCATAACCACGCCCGCGACCTCCACCACCACCACCGTGGTAACCTCCACCACTCTGATATCCTCCCCCTCCTCCTTGATATCCACCTCCGCCCTGATATCCTCCTCCACCTTGATATCCACCTCCGCCTTGATAACCACCCCCACCACCACTACTGTATCCGCCACGTCCACCCCTACCCCCTCCTCCACCTAAAATTCAGTCATCATTAATATCCAAAAGCAAACAGCATCCATCGATCAACCAATTACCTTTCGCAGTGAATACATGTTAATTTTTCAAGAACCATTAAATTTCTTACTGCAATCGAACCGCGCTCTCTCTTCATACTCCTCTCATATCAAACAAAAAACAACAAAAATCGAACCACCGTAATCTGGTGCCCGATCCTTCATCCACGGTGGCATCTCAGGTGGTGGAGCGCGTAACTCGGAAGGACGTCCGCCACGATCACCTGGCCTTTCGGCCATTAACACCTGCAACGAAAAATTTGTTCACACCGAATTTCAACTCATTTTTGATCATCGAACTTCTAAAAGAATCTCATCTACTCAGTTTTATCCGCTGCCCTGACAAGTTCTTCGCTTATCGAACACAATTTTGTTCCAATAAAACTGGTGTACGATGATTGAATATACCAATCCATTTAACTTAATTCACTGAATTTAAACTAGGAAGTGATGAACGAAATGCACGGTTAATCTAAATTCAAGAAAAGAAAGGAAATTTCTTCTTTCTTTCACTCGGAATGTCACCAAAACATGAATAATTTGAAAAAAAGAAACTCCAACCTTATTGAGTCGAGTGGCGGTTCGTTGGCGATCCTTACCGCTACTCATTTTTTCGACAGTTAACAAATCCGCAGTTGATGCAAGCAAGTCACTAATTGTAACGTTTGACGATGGTACAATGCGATCACGTTTACTGCGATATGCATCATTCACTTGATTCTAGAACAATAAAGAACACTCACTGATGTGTTCATTCAAATATGTCACATAAATAAATCTCTTTACAATTTTAACAAATAACGATATTATTCATACTTTTTGGATTTAGAAATAGGTTTAAAAAATAAAGACTAAAATTTAGTCTCTTTTTGTTCACTTGCTATAATGCGTAAACGAGGTAACAAATATAAAAAACAATCACTACAAAAAAACGGAATCCAAATAAATTCACCTACCTCCATTTTCTTGATACGATCTGACCAAAGAAATGATTGTATTGTGACGTCGAGACGTTTCAGCAACAAATGCATTCTATTTCGATATTCCTCACGAAGACGTTCGTTTAGTTCTCCGATACGTGACCATTGAGAAGGCTTTAACGACGCTGTTAATAGAGGTTTCGGTCTTACGACACATTTCGCGAATTGATTTTTAACCTGGAATGTGGTTTACAAATGTCAAATGCTGCAAACATTGCTTCGTCGTGATGATTACATCGTATTATGAGCACATTTTTATTCATACGCACATCTTTTTGTATATATCCTTAGCACTCGTCATATATTTTTCCAGCATATTTATTTGACCGTTCGGTTACGAGAGCTTCGAATATAATAGAATGTAATGAATGTATTCACAAAATAAAACTAAATCCCTAAGAATGATTCAGCTATTATGCACACACATACCTGTGCACCTAACTGTGTAAACAGTTGTTCCACAGTAATATCGGCAGTCGGTTTCGGCATAGATAAAGCTTTCATTGCGGCCTCTATACACAGCGTTGTATCACTTTTCCTCTGCAATATAAACAATATATTGAGAAAAACATAGTGTGTTTGGATGCCGCATCAACAATTAAATGTCAGCGATTCACGGTCACTGCCGATTGCCGATTTCTGATTCATCGTCAATTTACAATCATCTTGATCGATACAGAGTGTTACTGTAAACTGACCAGTTCCATCGGTTCATCTTCTTCTCGTTTCAATGCGGTGAGTCGTGCACACTTCATTTGTGCTAGCAAGAAACGCAGTAATTTTTGACGACTTTCCACTGAATTTAGCCGTTCGCTTAACGGACCTGACGTTAGTGCGTCGATTGGGCATTCTAAAATAGAACGAAATCACGTTCGAAATTCTGCCAAAATGTTCAGTTTGTAACAGGTTACATAGGAATCCCAAACTTCGTCCATATTACATTTCGGATTTACATTACTGCTCATTGATACCGCATTAATCAAGCAAGCAGTTTATGATCCATCGCTCTGACTATAAGAAAGATTGCTTTCAGCACTGGAATTATCTCGTCTCCTCTCTCCACATTTTCGAGTGATTAATAAAATAAAAAAAACGCATGTAGATCAGTCTCCAATTTCAATTCGAACCTCAACAACAATCTCACGACAAATGTGAAGAAAAGAAAACCTAATGATTAGATTCGATAACACGGATGCACAACCAACCAAGCTCGTTGAGTAATGAGCTAAGCTCAAGCATGAAGAATTCGATGTTCTCAGCTTCGCGCAAAGGACGAACTGTTTCCTCAAGTCCGTACAGAGCGCTTAATTCATTGCATAACGATACTATCACGTCGGCGAAACGTTCATCGCTAAGACCCGTATCAATCAACTGCGTCAGTATTTCAATGCTCAACTCATTCGGATGTCTGCAAAACAAATTTATCGCTTAAAAATGGAAATTATGAATGCCTTCCTTAATTAAGTTCATATTAGCTCCTATAAATTATATCATTCATTCTCAACGAAGCAACACAACACTGAAAAGAAAAGAAAAGAAACTGGCACGACAATAAACCTCAGATCGATTCATTACTCAACAAATCACTACCTGAATTCAATCGAGAACATTTGTGATAACTAATTAAGTTTTGCAAATCAACAATGTACTCTCTCTATAAACTTTCAATATTCAAGCAACATGGAAAAACTGAATTATAATACATACCCAATTTTGTGGAGCTCATCTCGCAGCTCTGATAAATCGAGTAACATTGGTGGCGGTCCCATACCTGAAAAGAATTTATTTAATTCAGAAATACGAATTTTTCCGTGCGCCGAACACTCACATGATAAAAATAAGAGTTTTACGACCAATTCCATAGAATGTTATTGGACACTATGAAAACGTTGAGATGAGGAGTGGGATGAAAACAATCTGGTATGCTCGCAATAGCTAACCAACAGCTTTGAAGCAGCTAACACTCCAGTAAGCACAGCATTCGTTTAGTGTAAAAACCCATACCAGTCTTTAAGCGCTATGTGTAGACACTTTGCCACACAGTTTCAATGTTCAGCACGCCGATTCCACCTTTTGCCGTAATCCGCATATTTGTACCAAATGAACGATAGTGAGATTTTCTTACCGTACTCTTCATCCTGATCTCTGCTCTTTTAAACCGAGATTATAACTCATTGAGGATTTACTCCTTTCTGTTATCACAATGTCACAAATATTAGCTAGTTTCAGAAAAGTGTGGATATTGTGGGATGATTTTGCTTACTGTTCAGATATTGTTGATGATTTCGATATTTGCATGCAGGGATACTTCATCTTATTCATTCAGCAGTTTTGTTACAGTGGTTCTCAAGTATGTTATTGCTAGAAAGAGATTCGCTTAGCACAGTGATTCGATTGCACAGAAATTAAAGTTGTTGAACGTCTCAATTGTATTAGTCACCTTTCACATACATCTCTTTGTGATTAAAGCTGATATGATATCAACGAAGAGCCTCTCATAGAAACAATCAGGTATCGTTCCTGATAAATCCTTTTGCTCTAGTGTCCAGCAAAAGCAAAAGTTGCAAATTCGAACTTCCTTCTGATGATACTATTTCAAATTGCTGATCAGTGATCAAAACTCTTGCAGCGATGTTTACTCAATACTGTGGAATTTCGCAATAGGCTTCTGAATGCACTGTGTCAAAAAACGTTAAGCGATGTTCCATGCTTACAATGCTTTAAACACGCACGTGTACACCT